CTGGTTAGACTTCCCTCATAATGAACACATTTGACTGAACTGCCATGTCAACAAAAGTAACCGGTCTAAAACTTTAAGAATCATTTGAAGAATGTCCAGGTCTAATTGGCTTGGTTGACAATTTCCCAGAACATGCTTGCTTCCAAGTCAATAGAAGTAACCGGCCTAGGCCTGGTTAGGTAACATCTTGAAAGTGTCTAGGTCTGGTAGGCTTTGTTGAAAGCATCCAAGTCTTGAACTCTTGAAAACGTCCAGGTCACGTCCATGTTGAAATAAAATAAGTTTCCAGGTCATCTCATGTCCTGGTTTAATAGGCTAGGTTGAAAGTTTTGAAGGGCATTTTAGATGCGAGGCTTGAATACTTCCAGGTCATCTTATGTCCCGGTCTCCAGAGTTGAAAACGTCCAGGTCACTTTGTTTCTAGCTTGTCAGGTCGAACAATAAACGTCTAGGTTAAATTCGTCCCGATCAACTTCCAATGGCTTGGTTGCACTACGTAACCAGCATGACGTCAAATTTTCTGTCCAGGTGTCGGGTCAAAAATGTGACCGGTCAAAAAATATTTTCCCAGACTTATCTGATTTCATCAAATCCACCAACTAAAAAAAGTGACCGGTCACTTTTCTCAAAGTTGACCGGTCAAATTTTGGATTTTTCCATTCGCCATTTCTGGTCATTCCAGAACATCAAGAAGTGACCGGTCACTTTTGACCATGCCCTCTTCTTATATCCATCTGGCCTGTCTATCGTGTTCTACCCCGACCTTGATCAAACTTCGATCGAATGTTCCGAAACGGCTTTCGTCTTAAGTCTCGACATCAAGACCCGACCTTTTCTTTGGAGATTTTGACCATGTCCTATGGTCGCGAACCCTCTCTAAGGTTCAGCCCTCTTCCAGGCAACACCCTTCTTCCAGGGCCCCTCTTCCAAGTTTTAAGTCTTTTAATGTGCCATTCTCTAATTATTAGGTTGACCTAGCCAACCTAATCTTCCCACATGGGGGTATGCCGGTGAGAACCAGCCCTCATCCAATCCTGCACGTCCATATATTATGTGTTCGGAAATTCGAGTCTTCCCTAGACATTCCGATCCACAAAGGATGGCTCATACAAGACGGTAATATTTTTTTTGGCATCTTTTCTAACCCTTCCCGACTAAAAAGTCGGTAGGGATCCATGTGAGTATGGATGCGAATCCTCTTCCGGATCCAGCCTGTCTCAAGGCGGTACCTCAACATCAAGGCCCCTATCTCAAGGGTTTCTTTTTTTTTGTTTTTTTTTGTTTTTGCTATCAGCCCATGCAACGGTCCAAGTCCTAGACATCAAGACTGATCCATCTACAGCAAGCTTAGCAATCTTGACCACATCTTATCCACCCTTTCTTCTTTCCCTGATCATATTCATGTAGGTGGATTCAAGTACTCGCCTATTGGTTTTCATCAAGCCCCGTAACGAATATTTCACCCAATTCCCCTTTCAAGGTCATCTCCCTGAGCACGACCCTCACATTCCGGCAATCTGTCGTGTTGTGAGAGTCGGATTGGTGGTAGGTGCACCACTTCTCTGTCCAAGGCCACTTGGGTTGTTCTCCTTTCTTCTCATCCCTTATTTGATGAACAGACCCATCATATGTGGCCCTCGGCTTGGACCCTCCCCTCTGATCATCCTTCTTCGGCTTATCGGTTTTCACCCGTGTATAGCCTTCCTCCAGTTCCTGCTTGCTCTTGTTCAGGACCTCCGCCTCGGCATACTCCCATGCCGTATTGTAGGCTTCCTGATAAGAGGAGGGTGGCCTCCTACAGAATTCAGTGTAGAGGTCACCTGATCGGAAGGCATTCATCAGCAAAGACATGGCCGTCTTATCGTCCATCTCTTCTACCTTGTCAACCTCGTCCCTCCAGCGGGTTAAAAATTGAGTCAAGGACTCCTTCTCCCTCTGCCCTACCGTGTTTAGGTAGGTAAACTTCTTTCTTTTGATGCAGTTATCCTGGTACTTCTTGCGGAAAACTTTGGCAAGTTTCTCAAAGGATCCAATCTTTCCATGGGGAAGACCGTTAAACCATTCCACTGGTCTCCCTCTCAAGGATGAGAAGAAGAGCAAACACTCCTCAGCATCAGTGCACCTGGCCATCTGTGCTGCATTGTAAAAGGTGTCAAGGTGGATATTTGGATCCTCTTTTCCAGTGAATTTCTCCACGTCCAACTTGACCTTCCGCCTCAATATTTGTGCATGTACCCTGGCCGAAAAGGGTGATTTGGCCAGGGTGTGCTTCTTCACTCCCGCCTTCTCTTCTACCTTTTCCTCTAGGGCACGTAGCTTTCTCGCTATGCTCCCTATCTTGTCCAGGTCATCCTCATCGTATGAGAGCCTGGTATATGTCGATGCCCTAGGCTGGCTTTCAGCTTCCTCCTCGTCTAGGCGAATCGTCTCAGATTCCCTAGAACGATGAGATTGGGCGGGACGATTCCCGCCAAGTCTTTCCATTCCGCTAGTCCGGCCCGTCTCAGGACCAAGACGTAGCTTGGCAGACTTGCGAGGTCCATCCTCTTTGTCCCCTAGGCGTATGAACGCTGAATCTCGGGTCTTGTTGGGTTTGGCTATAACCTTACCCTTCCTTCTGCGGGCTGCCTCTTGCTCCGCCTCGTCAACTTCATAGATATTCAATGGTGCTGCTTCGTTCATGGTCCCCGTCAAATTCACTAGACGTATAGGGACCATCCTAGGGATGAATGTCGACGGGGTCGACACCAGAGGTACCATTGAACTCATGATTGGTGGCATCATGTCCGGATAGGCAAATGGCATGAAGCCCTCTGCTTGTTGCATCATGACCATCACCTGTTGATAGCCCTGTAGAGCCTGAGCATTTGTCGGGTATGGTGTGAATACTCCCCCGGGCATTGTTATCGAGCCTGGGAACATTGTTGTCGTTGGTGTAGGAGTAGGGGTCGACATGATCGGGATCACGCCAATCGATCCTACAGTGGTGATCGGGGCAAAGGTCGTCCCCATGCTCGTTATCATCAGTGGGATGGCAGGAGTGCTTTTACTCGCAGCCTGGCTTGACACAGTGTTGTTGTTGCTTGAAGACATGATTGTGGATATTTAGTGGGGGTAAAGTTTTGACCTTGGTCGAAAAAACTTTAAAAATCTGTCCCACGGGTGGCGCCAAAAATGATGGTGTAAATATAGCTGGGCGGGTTAACCGGGTTTAACTTGGACACTCGACCCGTAATATAAAACACACCAAGAACACAAAGTATGACCTAGACCGGGTAAATCTCCTCAGTCCGAAATATATTTCTTACTCTGTCTCAAGAGTGTACTAGTTTTTAGTGAGAGAAAAGAATGGATCCCCTCCTCTATCCAATATCATCATATTTATAGAGGAGGATTTGTGACCTTCCCCTGTTCATCCATGGACAAAATAGGAAGCTCGTGGGAAGGTCACTGTAGATAATGGAAGCACTGTACAATCATGGACTTGATACTAATACAACCAAAAAGCACTGTTCAATCAAAGACTAAAATGGATATTCTCAATCCAATCAACCCTGCAAAATGACAAACATCCCTTTCACTGTGTGCCTCGTGATGGATGAGCGGCGGGGTGTCCCCTTGACCTCTGACGTGGTTCACCATGCCTAAGAGACTGGACCAATGTTAGCCAAGTAAAGTGATATGACCGGTCACCTTCTCTGAAAGGTTACCCGGTCATTTCTTGCGCTCAACCCGTCTCTTTGGTCTTCTAGAATGTCCTTCGTAAAATAAGGTGATATTTTCGCTATCGCCCAAAATGTGACCGGTCACTTTTTTAGTGGAAGTGACCGGTCAACTTTTGACCCGTCCAAATCGAAGAGTTAACCTCATTTGGTGATTGATAAAAGTGACCGGTCATACTTTGACCTGTCCCTTTCGGTTGTTCGGGTCGGGTATAGGGATATACCCATCAAAGATAAATTGAGATTATACCATGATTTATCTTTCACAATTTTATCGGGCCGAAGAAGTGTGTTGGGCTCGGGTGGGCATTCCAACTTTAGAAATAGGATATAAGACTCATACTATGCTAAAAAATTCTAGGGTTACATCTAGTATTTCTCTACTATGATAATACCAAGCTAAAAGGTGTCCTTTGTGATGTTAAATTTGGTGTCATAACAACATTTCTTACTCTATCTCAAAATGAATTACACCCTATGTATAGCAAAATAAAATCTCATAGTTTTAAATTTATTTTATTTAAAGATTAATTTAAAAATAAAAATAGAATTTGTATATTTTAAAATTACGTCAAAATTTATACAAAATAAGAGATTCCAAAAATATTTTATTTTATCAAATTATCAATAAAAATATGCAAATAAATAAAAGTTTATATGGTTTTTGAATGGTGAAAAGTATAAATCTTTGTGCCATGGAGTGAGTATTTTATAAATACTTAATTGAAAATGCCATAGATACAACCTTTGTTTTTAAATTAGTTTTACATTTCCGCTTCTTTTTTTGGAGAAATAATAAAATTACAAACAGAGTCACAAAATATTCAAACTTGTCTAAGTACCATAACTATCATACATTTAATATGCATCATGGTTCATGATTCTCAAATAAATAAACTACGGAATAGTACGGAGTATGGAGAAAGGGGAGTGTTCTCATGACATTGAAATCTTGTCATAGATGATTCAGTACTGCTACAGTGCCATGTTCGTAAAATTGACAGTTCCTACTCTTATAACCCACCTCCGGCAAACCTTCTTGCAGCGACCCGAACACCCCCATCCCTTTCATTTACATCCCTAAGTTAATTTTGTTTTTGAAGTCACACTGACTCCAAAGTCAAAATTAACTTGGGGGTGCTGAAAAGGGTGGGGGAGGGGGAAAGAGTGATATCATCAATTTTACGAATGGGATATCGTAAAAATCCCGAGTCATCCCATGATATAAAGTTCTAAGATCATGAGAACTCCTTCAATACACATCCATATATAAATTTATGGACACAATTATTTTAGATTTCCAATCACTCTCTACTTTCTTTGTATTGTATCACAAATGTGAATACTGCCTTTGATGGGTATATCCTTATGCCCGACCCGGATAACCAGAAAGGGACATGTCAAAATATGACCGGTCACTTTTATCAATCACCAAATGATGTTAACTCTTCAATTGGGACGGGTCAAAAATTGACCGGTCACTTCCACTAAAAAAGTGACCGGTCACATTTTGGGCGATAGCCAAAATATCACTTAATATTGCGAAGAATTCAAGAAGACCAAAGTTCTGGGCTTAGCTCAATAAATCCTAAATAATTCTTCCAAAGTACCCATACCATAACAATGCTCATACACACAAAATGCTTCTTTAATGATAAGTCTATGCTCATATAAAGATTCATTTAAGTGTAGACCTCATGTCTACCATAACATTGGCCACAAAAAGATTTTTTTTATTTGAAAAGAACGGATTTTCCTAATCTATCTAAAAAGAAAATTGTGTAATTCACAATATTGTCTCTTGTGATTTGTGAATACATATCACATGCATATTTTTTATTTTTTATTTTACCCTTTTTTGAAATATGTGAGGGTCAAACAATTAATTTAATAAAATAGAGATAGAAAAATTTTAGAAAATACTTATTCGACCTATTTCAATTTATTATATCAAAAGGTGTACGAATTAAAAAGTTATATGACTATATTATTTAATGGAAGCAGCAATAAAAATTTTGAAGTAACAAAGAAAAATTATACGAGAAAAATTTACAGGTTTAAATATTTATAATTCTTTTTTATAATCCCAAAACAGACATGTAAAATATCGACATTATTTTACAAAATTTCCCTATTTTATTTTATTCTAATATGAGAACAGCAACTTTTGTCGCATGCAAACCAAAGCTACGTATAATGCGCCGGAAAATACGGAATTCGAGGAGGGGCAGGCAGTAAATTTCCCCAAAACATCAGAAAAGCTCAAACTTGTTCCAAATCCTAATCAATAACTACCCCTCCCTCTGTATAAAATCGATAGAGCCGTAAATAGTATTTTACCAGTAGCTCAGCTGTCAGCTCCTTAATCTCTTCCCAATCAATTTAAAGAAAGAAAAGATCCGCTCAGATTTCCGCATTCAGCCGCTTGCTGAATCCATCCCCACAAGCGTAAGAGTTCATCCACGCCTCTTCTCATCCGTACATTATTTCTTCGCCCAATCCGAGTTTCTATGTGTTTTCTCTGCGTGAATCTCTGCAATCCGCTCATAATGGGTTGTGTTCTGCGGTTGAATCATGAAGTTGGGTTTTATTGTTTTTTGTTTTTGTGTTCTTACTCGTTGTTCTTGCATAAAGATTGAATTTTTTGGTAAGTTTTTTGTTTGAATAGTTTGGTAAGTGTAGATTTTAGTTTGGGTTTATACGTATTTATGGTGGGTATTGATGATGGAATAAGTGTTAGGTTGTTGGGCGTGATTTTACCTTTATTATTGTCCGTGTTGCTTTTTTATAACTTTGATTCTCTAACTGTGCATCTGAAATCTTATATAGGCCTAATCCGCGGCTGAGTTACCACATATTCTCGTCTGTGTTACCACATATTCTCTGTGTTTTCTCTCTAAGATCTTGAGTGTTCTTCATTTTTTTCTCTTTGATTTATTCAATTTTTCATCCACATTGTTGTGTGAGTGTGTGCAATCCTAACAAAAAGGTTTAGTTTTGTTTATATTTTTATGTTCGGGTTATGTGTGATGTCTTAACAGAGCTTAGTGATTAATATGCTATGCAACATTTTTTCAAGGAAAGAAAAAAAAATTGTGCTACGCAGTACACATCTTGTTGGTACTAGAATTGAGCTGATTTCTTGAACGGAGACATAGGGAGTTTTTTTCCATCAAGATCTGCGTTGGGATGGACGCACTACAGTGATGCTTAATTATGAAATCTTACCAGTTTTAATCACTTGGTTATTGCAGGAAATCAGAGGATGGGTTCAAAAGCTGTGGAAGATTTGATAGAGGCCTCATCAGGCGTTCATTATTCGGGTTTTCATTTGCAAGGCCCGAGTGATACCGACATTGAGCAACCAACGACTTCAATGAGTGGAAATGTTCCTAAACAACCATTTGTCATTGGTATGTTGGACATTTTTGTAAACTCAATGTTTCTTGCTATATGCTGACATCATCTGCATGCACTTTTTCTCAATATCAGTTTTTATGGGATATGCTACCAATTGTTCTTATATCAGTTCTTGAAAAAATGAAAAATTTATAGCTTTAGTTTCTGGGGATGTTTGCACAAATCGATGTTTGAGACTCAACATTCTTTCAAGGACATTAAATCTTGCCAGCCCATTGCACAAGGATCTCGGACAAACCAAACTTATATGCATCACGACATCCCCATCCCATTGAAAACAACTTGTTTTCAAATCAAACCTTTGCTACCAATAAGAAATGAGCTATTGGTCTATTGAAAAATTGAGATAGAGGCTTTTATATGCTTTCAAACTGACTTCACTCAAGTTGAACTCATTTTTCGTTTTTCACGAACTGAGGCTTCACAGGCATTCCTTGTGTTGTAATTCTAAACACGTGTTATGTCATTTGCTAAATCTTGGTACGCTTCTCCAACAATAAGTGAGTTTTGTTTGAACAACATACTTAGTGCCTACCACCTGATTAGCCAATGGGTGCATTGTGACCATCTTCTGGATTTGCTTCAGCCTAAATTATCTCCGTCTAAGATCAATTATGCAATTAGTAATATTTGGATTACCAATTTAAACAAAAAATCCATATTGCCATCAAATTTATTCATGCCAAATAGAACTTATATGGATTGCCTCACAAGATGATAATGCCTTACTATCTATCTAAATCATTTTATAAAGAAATCAACTATACATGCTATTCATTAAAAAAGGAGAGATAGAACTAGGAAGTTGATTACCCTGCATTTGCATGAGTTAACAATGCATAGTCTTTGTTGCATCAAGTTGAAATAGTAGAACATAGCATTTACAGTATTTCAAAATTTGCATCCTTTTATTTTT